CATATAATTCTATATAATTCTAATTATATATAATTGTTTCTAATATAATTATTACAATCTTATGTTTTTAAAATGGGATTTCAGCATGACAGTGACATCTCAGCTTACACTTATGAGAGAACACTAATGATGGAGCAGAGATCCCAGATGTTACGGCAAATGAGGCTATCCAGTGCAGAAAGACAAAGAGAGGTATGTTGGGAGAAGATCTGAAAGAGGAAGAGATAGACTTCTACAATTTAGTTCAAATTTATATTTATAATGTTCCCATGGCACTTCCAGGCCCAGCTGGTTAAAGACAGACATTCATTGGTGCGTATGGGCAGTCTGTACTCAGACGAGGAGGAGGATGTGATGGAGCTTCCTCCAGAGAAGGTCCAGATGACGTGGACTAAAGAGAAGTGCGAGGCTGAAAGGCGAAACAGAAACAATGCTCCTGAGAACTTCCGAGAACTCATGAGCCTCAAACCGTAAGCAATTTCTATTTACAAACATCTCAGGCATTTACTGACAACTCATTGCACTTTTTTCTTTTTTATGGTGTTGTTTTTTTTCCCTGAATTTAATTATCTCACCAGTTTTATTGTTGCACTAATAAATCTCCCCCTCGCTGCTTCTCAGGGATCAGTCCAATGTACGCCGAATGCATACAGCTGTGAAGCTTAACGAAGTAATAGTTAACAGGTCTCACGATGCTCGATTAGTGCTGCTTAACATGCCAGGCCCACCACGCAATACAGATGGAGATGAAAACTGTATCCTTTGTGATTTCAATCAGCAAAACCACCTGAGGCTTCAATAAGAACAAAACGTGTGGAAATCCTATCCTTTTGGTTTAAACTCCTTAATTTGTTGCTCAGATATGGAGTTTCTGGAAGTGCTGACAGAAGGTTTGGAAAGAGTGATGTTGGTTAGAGGAGGAGGGCGAGAGGTTATCACAATCTACTCATGACCAGCTTTGAGTTGTCAGAGGCAATGACCACATAAGAATACATGCCACCATGAGAATGGAAGCAACACATGCTTTACTTTTTTTTTTTTTTTTTTTTTTTTTACTTTTGGGTGCAAAAGAGACTGATTCTATTCTTATAGAATATTGATAATGGTGGAAAAATGCCATTATGTTGTTTCCTGACTAATGAAAGCAGACAATATTTCCCTTAGAATCCAGCAGTGTAAAAAACTCATCATTTTTAATGTTAGCTGCAGATAAACAACAAGCTTTCTTAAACTTGTAGGTTGCAGTTTGCTCAAAAAGTAAAACAGGAAAAAAACACCCCAGATAAGGAGGGAAACCTTATCTAAATAGTATTGTACACCCTATGATGCTGCCTACATATAAACAAGTGATTTAGCTTTGAGCAAATACCAATGAAAAACATATGGGAACATCAGTTTTACACCTTAAAAGGGCTAATTTAATAATTTCAGTATACCCTTCTTCCAAAATGCTTGCAGTTATTTATATTTGCATATATAGTTACCTTGCTAAGGCATGAACAACCAAAACTGTTTTAAGCTGTGTCATTACTTGCAGTAATAAGGTTGGTTTTGCATTTTTGAAGAAAGCCAAGAAATACGTAATTTGCTGAAAGCAGCTTGTGAGTTGTGCAAACCCTCAAACCACACATCAGATTGGGTTTCATTTCACTGTCAGGAGAAATACAGATGGCTGGCTGCTCCTGTGTTTTAGGACCTGGGTAATGTTGCAGTCATGTAATATGATATTACCTAAAGACATATTTAGGGTTGAACAGTATCAGGTAATTATGACACTTTGCTAAATATGGTTGTGAAAATATTGAATGCAGTTGCTTCTTTTTCTTCATTAAGCACAATACCCCACTTTGTTTTTTATATTTTGCATTACTGCCAGAAAGTTAAAAAGTAAGTCTTCTTGCATATTAGCTTTTTTATGTAATTCCAAAATTTACTAAACTCTGGTAAATTGCAGATTAAAGCTAAAGCTTTATACCAGCCATAAAGGGTTCTACATAATTTAAACTTTTCCTGAATCTAAAATGATAGCTGATGTTCTTTTCCAAGAGGATGACTATTACATGATAATTATACCAAAATATCCTTCCATTATTAACATGAACAGAAAAAAAATGTCTAAACTGCAAACCAGTTCCTTTGATCCACTGCCAAAAAAACCTGCTTTACTGAAACCTTTGGCATCTTGACATGCTATTCCCAGAACCCATCCTACAGCAACACAACCGGGAATAAGGCGAATGACACAAATATGAAATTATATTGACAGAGGATCTATTTTGCTAATTTTCTGAGGGCAAAATCCAATCTGGATAATCTAATCAGAATAAGGTTACTTAATGAAAAATGCACAAAAGCTGTTTTACCAAACAAGTTGAGGCTTTAAAAGACTTAAAAAGCCTAAGATTAATGTTTAAAATCCATTTATTAGCCTTTATATCTGCTTCAGCTACACTTCACGATCGGAATCAGTGCAACTAGCAGCACAAGAACTAAAAATATTATTTGCTAGAACCTTTTGATCATAAAAGTATTCTTTTTAAAGGATATTTTAATTTATTCCTTATAAGAAAAAAATATTTATATTATTTATTTTCTGACCATTCCCTTCTATTGTTAAAGTTACAGTAACTAGAAAATATTACTGCATCTTTTGATTCTGCTTGTAAACATGTTTTAAAGATTTATGATTAATATTTTTGCAGATATATTTCAACTTTAAACAAGGATAAAACAATTTCCCAGTAGTCTTACTTGCTTACTTATAAGCTTTTGTTTACCATGTTGGGGACCTGAAGTATGGCTTAACTTAAAGCCATACTTTTGCAACTTTTATAGTATTACATTTTTTTTCCGCTAAAGTCACTTGGATCAATTTGCTTTTTATAAATACCTGCATGTTTTCTTTTGTTGTACATTTAAGTTCTAGAATTGTTCCATTTCATACAGAGACTCAAAAAAGTAGGCGTTAAGCCAATCATCTAGTTATAACATTGTTGAAACCGATAGAAACATGAAATTGGATATTTTTGAGATATTAAGCAAGTACCTGATAAATATTTTTGCTTATTTGCGAGTCTCAATAATAATAAGTATTTCTTTACCCAACATGTGAAAAAAACAGAACAGCTACAGTATTTTCAATCACTGTAAAATGTTTGTATAAAAATGAATGGTGATTTGATTCTTCTTTTGCAACTGTCATAGAATTGTAAAAATATATTTCATTAAGCAAACAGAGAGCTTGTTGTATTTTTATTTAGATTTGATATATATCTATATATAGATATATATCTATATATATTCATACATATTTTGCAAAGCAAAGTCACTTCCTAGTACACATCACATGGAAAACTGTGCAGCTAGTAAGCTATTCTTCATGAAAAGATTTTTGATTATCAATAATGATGTGTTTTTTAAGAATCTGCAGTCCTACTTTGCTGGTTTGATTTGGTTATTTTAGTCTACAAATAGTACATAGATTTGCAAAATTGAGCATCCAAAGTGTTGCAAATGCCTGCTGTAATTCCCGCCACCACCTATTGTCCCCTCTACCCCAACCTCAACACAACACGGTTATCACCACTACAACACAATATAAAGTAAAACATAAATTTTAATGTTTTTTCTACATTTATTTGAATCAATTAACTGAAATTAGAACAGCAATACAATGTTATTTTTTAATCAATACATTAATAAAAGTGCTTGTCATATAATATTTTAACTAACATTCTTCATCTTAAAAATAACCATTTAATCACAGGGCAGGCATAAATCAGAAGCAACTAGACTTTTGCTTAGTTTTTCTGGAAGCGTTTTGACACCTGTCCAGGAGTTCTGGCAGCTCGCACTAGAGCAACATGTAGTGGCAATGCGGCTGTTCTTTAGCATATGTAGGCTCATCATCTGAGGCTCATTCCTTTCCCTCTGTTTAGTATTGGCTTTTCTTTCAAAGTTGTCTTTCTTCACTTTCCTTTCAAACCACTTGTCCTCTCTGTCCAAAAACTGAATATAAAAGGAGACCTTGCTGCACCTGACTGCTTACACAGCACTTCTCAGCTTTGGTTCGGGAGTTCTGTATTTGGGATAAACCAGTGTTTGCACAGAGCATTGTTAAAGGAATAGTACACCCAAAACATGATTAGCCTTCATTTTCTACTCACCCCCATGCTGAACAACACTCTGGAGTACTTTTTTGATATCTCAAATGCATCTGGAGATCTGGGAGGCTTCTTGCTGTCTGCTTACATTTAAATAATGGAGGTCTATGGCGCCCGAGGCAGAAAGGTCCATAAAAGTCCACAAAAAACGTGTAAATATTCCTCCATACTGCTCGTCCAATGTATTCCAAGTGTCCTGAGTGGATAGCGTCCATAATTTACTCGAAACGAAGTCATTTAGAATGTTTTTAGAGCATAAACAGTAGTGTATAGGATTTCCTAAAAGCGTGTTCACGAGTCTACGGAAACCGCGGCAGACCAAACCAGATGAAAGTGCGCATTCAGCGTCTGCTCTGCCGATAATGCAAGCGTAGAAAAAGAAATGTGCTGTTTACCTGTGCAAAGAAAGAAACAACGAAAGAAAAATGTCTGAGGACTTCAATGTTGAGGAAGAGCATGAGTTCTTTGCCGAGCTGAATGCGCACTTTCATCTGGTTTGGTCTGCTGCGGTTTCCGTAGACTCGTGAACGCGCTTTTAGGAAATCCTATACACTACTGTTTATGCTCTAAAAACATTCTAAATGACTTCGTTTCGAGGAAATTATGGACTCTACCCACTCAGGACACTTGGAATACATTGGACGAGCAGTATGGAGGAATATTGACACGTTTTTTGTGGACTTTTATGGACCTTTCTGCCTCGGGCACCATAGACCTCCATTATTTAAATGTCAGCAGACATCAAGAAGCCTCCCAGATCTCCAGATGCATTTTAGATATCAAAAAAGTACTCCAGAGTGTTGTTCAGCATGGGGGTGAGTAGAAAATGAAGGCTAATCATGTTTTGGGTGTACTATTCCTGTAAGAGTGCAACAACAACACTGAATAGAGGGAGGAGGAGGGGGATGTGCCTTGCAGGATGGGGCTTCTTGCACATATAAAAAACAGTGCTCGAACTACAGGTTGAAGTAGTGACAGTACACAGAACAACCAACAAAGACCCCGAGGTAAGTGTGAAAACATTTTCAGCAAAGTCTGGTTGCCTTCGATTTCAGCCTGCTTTGTGACTGCTATGGCCTGGTTGACTAAGAGTTTGTACTGGAGGTAAGTATTTGAATTGGGGTGTGCAAAAGAAAACAGAGTATAAGTCGGGCATATCTTCTTAAAGTTACTATGATGGACTAAGGCCCTTATCCTTCATATAGATAATAAAAGCTGAAGTAAAGAAGAGATGAGCATTAAGTCAATACATAGAAGAAGAAGAAAAAAAGCAGAACTGAGCTCAGGTATAACAAATTCAATGATCCCACTGCTCTAAAAGATGGGCTCTGATTGGAGAACACTTTTTTCACGACAGGCATTTGGAGAACCAATCTGCAGGGGTTCTCCACCTCCTGTAGCGGGATCTCTTCTTCACTAGGTTGCTTCCAGCTTAACTGATCACGGACCTAAAAGGCAAAGGGAAAAAACAAATAACATATATTTTCAATAAAAATATATAACAGTTTAGTTCCCTGGCTGATAAACATTCAAATGATAATTTGATTTGGCCATGGTCCTTCTGACTGGAAGAAACACTTTGGAGTAGACCAGCCAGTGGGATTCTGGCTTACCAGTGAAATCATTTGAAACAAGTTTGTAGTAATAAAAAGCATTTCACTTGTGCCAGTAAGGGTTTCTACTCATAATTATGAAGGATAAATTGAAAACAGTTGGAAACACTGTTTTGCCGTCTTTTGTAAATTGGTGATGTTGCCTGTGTTCTTTCCTCTCAAAATCGGCATATTAGTTTGCCTGTGCAAATTCTCGGATCACATAACAGGCTTAAATCAGAAGAGCTAGAATTGACAAAAACTCCTGGACAGGTATCGAAAACTTCAGAAAAATAGGGTGAAAGTCAGATTCCCTTTATTTAAGCCCTTTGGTGTGATACTTTATCGCCCTCCCTCCTGCATAGGGTGATTCCTTAGCCAGAAAGATCATTTGAGCTTACCTTTTCAACTTCCTCAAACACTCTAAGGAAATTCCTCCGAAGCACATCTGCTAACTCCTCCTCTGTCCACTTCCTCTTTAGGAGCTCCTGGATTATTACAGGGTACTTTGAGACATCCTCTAATCCCTCAGGATAGCTATTATGGAAACACAAAATAATTAATTTTCTGTTTTATGTATTCTTCTGTGTGATGTATCTTTAGCATTAAAATGATTTAAAAATATAGGTTACATAAATGTCAATCCATCAAATGGCTAGACTGGTCAATAGACAGCAATACAGTAAACACATGTAAAGTTGTCTCTGCATACAGTTAATGTCTCACTTTTTAGCACCATCAAAGTCTCCTCCAATTCCTATAGATTTAGCTCCAATGACTTTCTTGATGTGATCAAAATGGTCTGTTAAAAATAGATGAAACCATCCATTAACATAGGTATCAGCAGTTTTAATGCCATGCTTAAAAACATATCAATCCAATAAGGATGATTTACCAGCCAGATTAGAAACATTTGCCTTGTCCTTGCAGGAAACAAAAGGGGTGTAAAAATTCACCATTATCAACCCTCCGTTCTCCTTCTGAAAAAACAAAACAAAGCGATATTCCTAAGTAGTATAAAGAAGTATTGCAAACCTGAGACTTTCCTGGAAATGTATGAATGTTGCATCAGCCTTTGCCTTGGCCAACTGAGGCATGGTAGTATAATGAGAAACATGCCAGGTCAAGATGTGTACAAGCAGCAGTAAAGATGGTAAGAAAGTAAGAATAAAGAGAGAGTTACTCTTTCTCCTATCATCAGCATTCCATGTATACAGTTTCGAAAAGCAAGGAGAAGATTTGGCTACAAAGTTTTAATTAATTTGCTATAAGTCATTGTGCCACGCTTTAAATGCAATATTAAGAATGATGCAAAGGTCAAAAGTCAGAGTTCTGCAGAAGCATGTAATAACTCAAAAACTGAAACCAGGTGTTCCGATGCTGAAAAAAACATCCAATGACTGGAGGTTTACCCTGGGGACCAGGATTGGGAAACACTGGAATATAAAATAGGACTGCTGTAAATTAGGGTGTGTATGGAAAAGGGCCAAGAGCACAAAACCTTACTTGCTGACAATTAATATAAAACTAAGACGCATTAAAATGTGAGTGACTTACCACAAGTCATAAGCTCCTACAAGTTTGAGTTTATGATGACAGACAATTCAGACACGGCAGCGCTGCTCATTGGCACAGTGGGTAGCATTTTTGCCTTGCAGCAAAAGGTTCTGGGTTCAATTCCCAGACTAGGGGTCTTGGCTTGGTCTGTGGATTCCTCCCACAATCCAGAAACAAGAATGTTAGGTTAATTGGCTTCTCTAAATTCCCCTTAGGTGTGCATGTGAATGGTTGTTGGTCCTGTTTGTCTCTGTGATGGACTGGCGACCTGTTCACGGTGTACCCTGTCTCTCGCCCATAGACAGCTGGAGATGGGTAAAAGCACCCCTGGTGATCCCAAGAGGGATAAAGCGTGATGGAAAATGGATGGATGACAGACAGACATGAAACAAGTTTCCCAATAACTTTATAAAACCACTTTTAATCTTATAATCTTGCTTACTTACTCTGTAATCTTGCTTCTTAAGATTAAAAAGCTTTCTAAACCATATTCAAAAAGGTTTGACTTGAAATAAAAAAAACACTCTGTGCCAAATTTCTGGGTCCAGGGGACCAAAATACTGAAATTGAACATTCTGGTGAATAATAGGAAAAAGTGATCAATAATTACCAGCACAAAACTTTTCTTTACCTTCCTTCATTCGTTTATCATGTAAATAAAGGAAAAAACAGGTCAATGCTTAGCTAGATGATAAAGATATAAATTATGTTTATGCAATAATATGAAAACTTTCCCTGGTTTTAGCTATAGATTACTATGGTTTTGTTTAGTGCACATTGACATCTATGGTTTGAAACTCTTCATATTGTCAAAAAGAGGCAATGCTTAAATCTGCAAAATAATCTGCTCACAGTACGTTAGTACAAAGACAACAAACCACAGATGATTCAGTCAGTAGCTTTTCTCACCAGTTTGTAAAGCAGCCAGTCAGGTACGTTGCGGCTGTGGTTACAGACTGCAAAAGAGGACGAATGACTGAAAATGACAGGAGCCTTGGAATGCATCAGAACAGCTGAAGCTGTGCCCCAAGATGTGTGGGAAAGATCCACAATCATCCCCAGTCTGTTCATCTCATCCACCACAGCCTGAATAAAAAAGAAAGAAAAAAAACAATATTGCACAAGGAAAAGGAAGGAAATGAAAGCAAAAAACAGTATCAGCAGACGGTTTTGCGTACACATGTAAATACCCATGTATTGATAGCTATCAAGGAAGTGCAACATTCTGTAGTTTAGGCCAACTAAATAAAAATAAAAAATCCTTTAGTACAAAGAAATCTACTAATCACGTGTATTTTTAGTTTTTAAACAGTAAAAAAACACAGCAAATTTTAAAAATACAGCTTAATTTAGAGAAGCTTCTATATGATTTCTTAAATGAATCATAAATGAAAAGCTGCTACTTTTACTCTGAGGCTTAACATTACCTTTCCAAATGTCGTCAAGCTGTTATTGCGTCTTTTAAAGACATCATAGATTTCTGAAGATGTTTCAGCCCTGCATCAAAAAGAAAACATAGATTAATTTAAAAAATGCGAAACAAAGGGCCAATTATTATCTTTTTTCAGAATACGTGTGAGATTAAATGTGTTTTTTAAAATGGAATTTACATTCTTAACACAATCGTTATTAACTGCACATAGTGCACTGTTTGCTTTATATATTACCAGGGAGTATTGCAGGAATGAGTGAGGGTCATGGAGCGAACTCCAAGATGATAAAACATGCGCAGTGTTGGAAGACTGCTATCGATAGAGTGCCCCCCTTCAATACTTATCAGACATGCTATTTTATGCCTCATCATAGAAGCATTCAGTTCTGTAAAGACAGACACAATTAATTAAAATAATCGGTTGTCTGTTCTTTCAATAATTAAGAAAAGTAATGTTCTTTACAAGTCTAAAAAAACATAAATAAAGACAAACAATTCAACTGGGGATCTTGGATTCAGCAACAACAAAATTATAGAATTATAGAGATGTATTATACCCTGAGTGGAAGTGACCAGTTCAAACTCAGGGTTTTCAGTGCACATACGTCTGACTACATCTATTTGCTCCAAAGTCAGACGCACAGCATCCATCTGCTGGGCCCCACACAGAACATAGGCTGCAAACATCTGAAAAAGAGACAAGGATGTTAGACAAAAATGAAAAAAAAAAAAATAACTGATTACACTTAAACTATATCTAGCATACATTCATCAGCCAATTTATAACATAATTGCTAGTAAAATAATTGGAGAAGTTTTACCCATATAACTGTTTTATTGTTGCGAACATATTTATCAAATATTTGAGCTCTTATTCATAGCAAGACAGTTTTACGATGCAAATCTCCCTGTTCACCACATCCGAAAACAAATCTAGTGAATTAAGGATTGGTGATTGTTGAGGCCTTTGGGATACAGCAAACTCATTTTCATGTTCTATAACTTGAGCTTTGTTTATTATCCTGTTGTAAGTAGGCATCAGGAGAGGGGACAACTGGGGGTGCACATCATCAGCAATGATACTGAAGTAGTCTCAATCAATCTTTATTGTCAACTACAATTTACATTGCAATCACGATTTCCATTTCAGTACAAACCGTTCATCACAACACATCACATACATTGGGGTGGGGGGGCTGAGAGGGGTAGCGGATTTACTGAGGCCATGCATGCCGCAGAACGCTGCCTTTGGAGCGTTCTTATGGCTTGCCAGGTTACCACCGGTTACCTGGCTTCCCAGGTCTCAGGCGGTTACAGATAGCGCTGCCTTTACCTCTGTGGAAAGTTATGAGCCACACTGGGTAAGAGAGGGAAAAAAAGCATATTTCACACTTTTTCCTTGACAGGATACAGTTTGAGATATCAAGGGGGGTCAGTTCTTCTGTGTACTTTCACCATAACATCCAGGGGAGATTAGATAAAAGGGGGAGGCTGAGAGCAGGCTGCCCAGGAATTTTCCAGCCTGTGATGTTTAATGATGATAGATGGTACTAAACCAGGAAAACATTGCTCACCCATACAAGGATACATCCATTCAAACAGTGTGAACAATTTATTGAAGTAGGATTTATGCTTTTTAAGACAAATTTTAAATATGCCAAATTCTAGCATGCCGGTGCAAATCAGGGTTTCAACTTCCTACACTTATCTGATTAGACAAACATCCATTGTGGTCTTCTACTTTCGTAAGCTAACTTCTACGTTGGAGGAGGCTTTCTGCATTAACCAATTTGTAGTTGAAAGAAGACACAACGTGTTGTTTTTTTGCTGCAACCATTTTAACTAGGGATGTACGATATAATCAGCCCCCTATCGGTTTTGGCCCGTATCGGCCTTAAAACTGAATATCGGACATCGGCCACCCCACCGATATTTAACCCGATATTTGATCAGCTTCTGAGTTTCTAAAGTCAAAAAAAAAAATAAAAAAAATTATACTACTATTTCTTCCTCAAAAACTTCTAAAGATGAGGGAAAAAATATTGATACATCAAAATATCACAATATCTTCATATGCTGATATATTGCCATTTAAAAACACCATATCAATCTCTTTTACTAATTAAATATTGCTATATGTCATCGAAATTTGGCCATATTTTTATATGTTGATATATTGACGCAGTATCGATCAATTTTACTAACAAAATCTCACAAGAATTTGCAAAATATCGCAAGAGTTTGTAACAGAACGATGAAATTTCACGAGATTTTGAAAGTAAAATAGATTGATACCGCGTTTTAAAAAATCTATTTGATATCAGCATATGAAAATATATTTGAGTATATTATTTTTCAAAGTGTCAGAAATGGATAACAAAACTGCTATTTTCAATGACTACTTATTTTTGTCCAGCTTTAACATCGGTATCGGTTATCGGCTACATGAGTTTTAAAATATCGGCATATCGGATATCGGCCAGAATCCCAATATCGTACATCCCTAATTTTAACCATGAACATTTTTTTTCATTGTCCCATCTTATTGTTAAAAAATGTGTTATTGACATTGTGCCATTTATAATATTAACTGTTATGACAAGCTCTGTTAACACCTTGAAGCTTTCTCTCTCTGGTTATTTTCCTGAAAAGAAAACATACAGGGCCCTAACCCTGCTGAGATACACCCCTTGCTTCACAGGACCTCCCCCAAAGCGGAGCCTGCTGTAAACATTCACTATCTACATTCACTGGTAGAGAACATCAATGATATGCTTCCCAATGACGCTCAGCTGCAGAACAACAGCAATCTTAATTTTGAAGGGGGTATGTGATGTGTAAGGGAAGGGAAGGGTGTGGTAACAGGAGCAGAAACACGTACCTTGCAAGCAAGATGAATTGTTTTGAGATTTGTAAATTCACAGAGTCCTGAAAATACATCTTGCGAGGAACCAACAGAATGATATCAATGCACCAAACAGAAGAGGAAGAATGAATATAAAAATACACCACTGCACAAGGGGAATATCCTCTATTTCATTTTGAAAGACCAAGCATAATAATTTTTTTTCCTTTTTGGATGGAAAAATGGTTGCGCATTCCTCCCGACCAGCTTAGATTAGAGTTTGATTTATCAGTTAACTCCAACAAACAAATCAAGAATGTGAAACATCTCAGCAGCATCTGCGACTGTGATTGGCTAAAAATTTGACATGGGAGGCGGGTACCCAATCACTTTGAAGAATTGTTATTAATGTCCACATCCTTTATACTGGATGCTTCCCAGGTTGATAGGTGTAATTCAATTTGAATTCTACATGGTATCAATCTGGCTAATGCCCAATTACAGAAACTCAGCCATCGTACTAGAAGGTTACCCACATGTAAATAGCGTTCCGTTCCAGACACATGCTCATGTATACACATTCTTTTTGAACAGTTTTTAAACAAATGGACATAGATATTATTCTGTTGCTATGGGGCAATTTTCTTCTCAAATGTATCAAGTGTTTTAAATGTATTGGAAATAAATGTTATTAAATTTGTTATTATCAAAAATGATCATTCTTAAGCACAATTACACAAAAAGCACCAAATATATTAATACCCACAATGTCCATTTTTGATGCAATGGTGTTAGATCTTTTCAGCCATGCATTTTAAGATTAAAATCAGTTAATCTGCATTCCTTTGTTCAAAGGAGGCTAATAAAATGTCTACCAGTCTCCTAATGATCCTCCAACTTCTGTCCATTACACTGCTGCTGGTTAGATAGTAAGATTTTTCCACCATTGCTGGCTTTTCTTTACAATCACAGCAGATCAGCAGCTTCTAGACTAATCAGACTTCCCTCTTAGAGATAAACAATCATGCAGTGTTTCAAAGTAGCTTTCCCTATAAAGTGGCCGGAGAGTGCAAACAGGCTGTATGTACTAAACCAGTGCCATGGAGGCTGATTCACTCAGGCCCTTGAGTACCTGCGTCTGTACATGTCCTGCTCTGAGACGGGAGATGTCGGTGGCAACCTTGTGGATATGAGTCAGATTGATCTTGCTCAGGTGATTGTTGTGAAGGATCCTCAGCTGGAGTGCTATATCATTGTGACTACAGATAGCAGAAAAAGAGTGGGGAGGGGGGCACGTAAAGCATCTTAATCTGATTGTAGTCACACATTTCCTGGATTATATAAATGTAGATTTAAACAATATGCATTCATTACCCATCGATGAGCGGGTATTTAACCATCAAGTCTTTTGCCCTGTTTATGTCAGAGTTTCCAGATGTGAAGCAGCACAGAGAGAAAACCAGAAGAGCACTGAGAGTGTGCACACAAAGGCTGCATGAGCCACATGATGAATCTTTCCAAGAAAACATTTCTGAGAAGAGAAAACCAAACATGGGCATGACAGTTATTTGTAACCAAACTTAGTACAGCTGTATGATCAACTAATTGATAAAGAACTTAATATGAACTCATATGATTTAAAACACTGATTTAAATAACTTAAACCGAAATATTGTAATATTAATATGGCTAAAATATCAACAAACATCGCAGGGCAGCTTTATTTTGTTATATGCGTCCTGTTGTAATTAAAACTAAAGCCATACGAGTAAACAGGTATTTCTTAAAAAAGCTGTAACTAATAGTATCCCTAGGTTAAACATGGAAAAAGTACATATAAAGTATCTTACCAGAGTTGCAGGGATAAAACTTGTTGACTGTCTTGTTGAAAAATGCTCAAACTTTCTTATTCTCCGCCCTATATACATATGAGCGCACTGTGCAAAGTAGCAGCTGTTAGTGTGTTGAGTTCAAATGCAATCTGAAAAAGCACAATTACCTTAAATCCAACTTGGTCTTATTTTTGAAGAAGCCTCTAAGTTTGTTTACTGTTGTTGGACATTTAGTTTGTGTAAAAGGTTAAAAAGAATCTAGTAGAGAGTATCTACATCCCTAACTACACTACATAACGCACTACTGTTCAATTTTTACCAGCATTTCATGGGGAAAAAAATGAAAACCGATGGAAATCCACCTGACGTGTTTGGCAATTTAGCGCCACCTGCTGCTCGATAACAGAATAGCTATTTCTAACCAGGAAATCATAAAACGACTACATTAATAAAAAGAAAAATATGGGCAATATTTCAGATTTTTAGGTTCAAAAACCTGGTGTAAAGTAACACATTTTAAATAAATGGTAAGTTAATTGTAGGAACTATTTAAACAAGCCTACATTGGCAGCTGAAACAAGAAAAGCTAAATTATGAAGAAAATAAAAAAAGAATAACTGTTTTAGAGAGATTTTGTATTTAAAAGTAATGGGCATTTTTAAATGTGTGTCTACATGTGTAAAGAATATACCAAAATGCCAGGGGAATCAAAGTTTGCACCTAAATAAGAATACAATTTCAAAGACATTTTAAGTAATTACAAAAGTGAAAACCACAATTTATCTCCATTGATACTTAAAATAGGCTTATTTTAGTTTACTTTGAAAATTATAGCTTCCGTCTTGTACAAGCCACAAATTACGCTTGTCAGAAATGTCAAATAGTATTAGACAAATATAAATATTTTTAACTCACTGATGTTATGTATTGGCTGAGTTATAGCCTTTACAATCAAGGAGATTCATTTTGATTGTGAGAGTTTTGTTTCGATAAAAAAGACAGAAAGTGTCAGAAACATAATAATTTTAAAAAAATAAACCAGTTCACTAGTTTTGGAGAGACTATTGAGGTGTTAAGTTTAGCTACAGTCAGTGCTTCAAGACAAACTACGTTAAGCTGTATCCATTATGTGGACTGTAACCATTATGTTTCTTGTATTATTCATTTCCTTAACCAGCGATACTTCGGAAACAGTCTAACTGGTATAAGCACAAATAGAAATGCACGGTTACAAAAGTCAATATTTTGTGGATATTATGTAAAATTTAAGTATTCAGAGCAACAAAATTGGAGCAAAAAGACAACCACACAAATGATCAGAAAAGAAAACTAAACTCAATACTTAAAATAATTTATTTTATAAGAATATCTACAGAATATATGTTTCTTTTTTTATTACTAAAATATAAAACTGTTTTAATGATATTGTCATCTATTGTAATGTAAGGAATACATGTTTTTAACTTATGCAAAAATACATTAAAGCTTTTTATACAGTTCTCTCTGAAAAACAGGCATTGCCTCTGTTATTGGGATTTTCTTTAATTTCTTCAGGCCAATTTGATCCAACGTTGAGTGGGATTTTTCTGATAAACCTTGTGGCTATTGCTGTTGTGTGTTTATGCATGTGGTAGCAGAAAAAAAAAGGAAATGTTGCCAATAGTTGCCCTGTGACAGACTAGGGATCTGAAAGCTTTTTGCCATTGACTGTTAGAGATAGTCACCTGCCCCACATTAACCCTAAAAAAATAAGTGGAAGATGATGGATAGATGAATGGATTTTACCAATAGTGTGCTGCATGCTATTTTAAACATATCTGATACTGTAACATTTAATCAGCTATAATATCTGTAGATTCTAGTGTAACTCCAGCAGGTCATACTTAACAAAGCTTTATTTGCAATGCCTTTCTTTATACAGTAACTATAGGAATAACACATTCTGGGATATCACCATCCAGTCTTAATGGGGTCTTTAGGCCATTAATGTACACAAAGTAGGGCACAATTATAAGATGACAGAAAACGTAACATGGTTTTTAACAATCTGAAAATAGAAACCGGAAAAGTGTGAGAGAGGTATCAGTACAGGATCTGTTACTCCCACTACACAGTTCCAGAGAAGCAAAATAGAATAGATGATGGAAGACTTAAGGCTGAACCTGAGTACAGGAAATTATAGCCCCTAGCTCCTAGTGCTATTTGTTCAGCTTTTACCATTAAGGATACAATCATAAGTATCAAAGCAGAATCATGATAAAAGCAATGTCCGGATTGATGGACCAATTACAGGTAGCCATTAACTCTTCTGTCATTATGCACTGGAGAGCATATGGATTATGCTTGTCTAATCCAGAAACACAGCCCTCTGAAAAAGAACTATAAAAATTACATGTTACAAAATTGTATTGAACAGCTGAAGTTATCCATTAAAAGAAGATGTGAATCTGCATATATTTGCATGTCACACACAGAACACGTTGCAGTGATGTCATGATCTGGCCTGTTTGCTCTCCCCTAATTAGTAATTCCTATCACATGCCCTCTTCCTTCCCAGCCTCAATTATAATTTATTCCCCTCACCTGTTTCCTTGGGTTTATATTCAGTTCAGCCTGAGCATTCAGGGCCAGATCATTGCTTGTCTTTCTGTCAGTCTTTCTGTTCAGTTTTATTTGGTTCATGTCCTGGATCCTAGCTGCCACTGGAAAGAGGGTTTTAGTGTTTGTCTCGTCTCCTGATCGTCCACTGTTCCTCCCCCGCGGAGTCCTCTGGGTTTTTGGCTCATTATGGGGGGAGGTTCAGTTTTTATCAAAGTAAGCCTGGCTCCAGGGTGGAGACCAGTTTAAAGTCTGCTTCAAGTTCCGGTTCCTACGTCCTGTCTCGGCTATCCTCTTCCACTGTGCCTGCCTGTTCTGCACCTGATCCTGTCTGCTCCTGTGTGTGACCACCTGGTCATGCTTCTGGTCCCAGTAAGACTCTGAACCCTCCTGGAAGCCTGTGCATGCCTGGAAGTCTGGATTCTGCCACCTGTCTCTGTTCCTGTCTGATCTGGATCCTGCCTGTTCCTGTCTGTTCTGGATCCCTCACCAGGATCAGCTTCCAGCATGACCTCTGGGACTGCAGCACTGGGGACACTCGTGGTCTGGACTGTTAAACCAGGTAAGTGACCAACCCAGATAATCATACATCAGTTTATCGTGGTCACTTACCTGTGTTTCCTCCCTAGAGTGTCTGAGATCGGGCGGTGCCCCGCCCCCCCGCCTGCAGTGTCCGCGAGCCACAGCTCCGCTTTGTTTTTATTTTAATAAATCTTTTGAACTTTCCTACTGACTGTCTCTCCTGAATACTGGGTCCATCTGTCCTCGATTCATGACAAGTGATGTATATTTGTTAATTTCTGTGAGGGGGATTGCGTATATTTCACGTCATGCTAAGGATTGTAGGATTCCTAATAGCTCTTTTGCACCAGCAAGAGACATCACAAGCTCCCTAAGCTAAAGGAACAATGAAATGCATTAATTTAAATTCCATTTAGTTTAATTCAGTTCAGCAAAATTCAAATACTGTATTAATACCTATGGCAAGTTAACTGTTTCAATAAATCAAGAGCAGTGGTTCAACGAGTTGTTATAAATGCTGATAGCTGTAGCCAGGAAGGACCTTCTGTAGCAGTCTGTGTTGCACCAGATCTGGAGAAGCCTCTTACTGAAGACATGCTGTTGTTGTTTAACAAACTTCTAAAGATGGTTCTCACAGTTTTGCATACTTTTATTGATTTTGTGAAAAAATCTTCTTTATGAAATCATCTCCAGAGGACAGCACTTATGACGAACACTATTACACATCCAAATAAGCAAAGGATGAAAACAAATCAACTCTATATTTTTGTCAAGAATATAAATACAATGGCTCACTTTGTTTCCACCTTTCAATAAAGCACCATAATACGTCAGCTTCTCACATCCAATACAATAGACTTCAACGAAACACCTTTAGACTATATATATATAAAGGGGGGTAAGAATACATTTCAATTTTAATTTCAAGTTTTTCTATATTTAACCTTTAGATATTTTCTCTTGAGAGTGACAACACTTATCTGGAATATTTTAGCAATTCAAAATTAAGTGCTTTGCAAAAGTATTCCCCACAACTGAGCTTTTTACTGTACCTCTTTTTTTCTACTGAATTCAGTTCTGGTGCAAGAAATGAGCTTCAATACTCCCATAATTAGTGAAGTCTGTCTGTGTGGAGGAGTTTAAGTATCTTGGGGTCTTGTTCACGAATTAGGGGAAGATGGAGCGAAAGGTGGATTGGTGTGGCGTCTGCTGTGAAGCGTGCGCTGTACCGGTCTGTTTTGGTGAAGAGAGAGCTGAACTAAAAGGCAAAGCTCTCAATTTACTGGTTGATCTACGTTCCTACCCTCATCTATAGTCATGAGCTTTGGGTCATGACCAAAAGAATGAGATTCTGGAAACAAGCAGCCGAAATGAGTTTTCTCTGATGGATGGATGGATGGATGGATGGAAGGAAGGAATCAGAGTCACATGATGTGTCCTTATAATCACACCTTTTCTAAAAGGCCCCAATAGGTTGCAAACCTACAAAGAAGAGACTTTGTACAATGAAGACCAAGGAGCTTTCCCAAGAAATTCACAATTAACTTCCCAAAAGAGAACCACCCACCAAAACTATGGCAGGACAGCATTAATCAGACAGACTGCAGAGACAGAAGCTAACCTTGAGGACAACGCTAAGTTTCAAAGCTGAGACTGGAGGACAAGATTGGTCCACATACCGGTAGTAAGCTGCACACTACTGTACATAAAGGGGAGATTTATGAAAGAGCGCTCAGAAGTACTGATGGGTCCAGCAACACTGATGCATTTGTTGAGCTATTAGAGCAATACCCCGGCTGTGTCCGAACTTCTGCCCTAATAGGACACTATATAGTACATATATCAAAGGCAAGGACCGTGGGCCGGATCCGGCCTGCGAATAGTTTATCCATGGCCCCCTGGATGATATTTAATTACAATTAGAACCGGCCAACATGCCACAGCTGCTTCTGCTCACTGCTGTGAATTTGAGGCTGCATTGTTGGGTGCGGTTGTAATGTTGGTGCGGTTGTGTTGCACACATCGACACTACATTTCCAGGGGAAAACATGATTGTGTTTTTCTTTTCTTTTAATATTT